TAGTTCTGTTTGATAAGTAATTGATTAGGTCAGACTATTTAAGCATTTAATCTGGCATGTACAGTGTGTGATGAAAGGAATCCAGCTGTGAATTTGAGTGTATTAAATAATCTTCAGGAAGTTTCACAAAGAACATTTGAATGCCTTGAAACTTGCAATAATGCATGTTTGTTCCAAACACATTTGCTTTGCCTAGGTTTTGCCCATCAGGTTGAAGAAACGGTAATCTTTTTGCATTCAGCAGCTGGGTTTTTGCAATATTCTTTTCCTTCTTCTAGGGGTTAATTAGCCTTCTTTCAAAACGTGGCCTATTTAGCTGTAGATTCGCATGATTCAGCCAGAGCTGGCTATACAAAGCAGAACCGTTAACAGGCGGGTGTGTCCAACTGCTTAATTAGCCAGAATAAAAAGGTCCTTTGTCAAACAAGCATCTGTTGCTCTTGACATACCTGACAGCCACATTAGGCAAGGATGACTAGACTGAAATCGTGCATGTCTCTCCTGCAAGAATATACAACTCATTTACATATAGGCTGCATCATGGACAAACTGCAGGGGTTTATTTAGCTTATCAAAATGGATTAATGTGACTGCATTTGTGGCTGATAAACAAATATCACTTGAAAGGAGGCTGTGAAGGAACTAAACTAACCAAATTACTCCCAAACATAAACAAAGCACCAGAAACCACTGCTAGATGAATGGGAACACCTCACATGTACACACAAACCTTTATACTGGCTCTAAAACAAAACCTACAAATGAAGCATGCTAAGACACTGCCCTCATGTGATGATCCCTGCTTTGAAGAAATTTTGGAAAGCTACCAGAATACTCTAAGTGTGTCAGTGGGTTTAAATGATCTGTTTAGGAATATTTGGCAGGAAGGTTACACTCCTCAACATGCTTTAACATTCAAATTGATCTGCTATTAATCAGGTCTTTGGAATTAATCAGTTAAAATGCCTCTGGAAAAGATACTTACTAGTTGGGTTTTATTATGGCCTCAGTAGAAAGAGAGAGGATACTTGCTAATTTCAATGTCAGAGAGAGAAGAGATGTCTCACTGTTGTTATTCGAAGTGTAGATCAAATAGGATAGATTGAGAATCCCAAAGATTTGCTGTTCAGGCCAACAATCTCTAGCTTTCCATTTGGAAGCCTTTCATCATGATTTTGCAAAGTAATATACATAGTGGTAACATCATGGGCTTTAGAGTCAGGCAAACCTGGATTTGAATTTAGGCTCTTACTCTTACCATCTGTGTGGCTTTTAGCAAGTTATTTAATCCGTTTCTGCTTCAGTTTCCTCATTCGTTAAGTGGAAATAACAACATTTCCATTATGGTTTTTTTTGAGGATTAAATGAAAAGATGTATTTCAAGCACTTAGCATATTGTGTGGCACCTGGAAAAGACTTGTTAAATGAGAGACCTAATTATGGTTATGACTTTTTTTTTTGTTATGACTTTTAGCCAGCCTCTGGCAGGCATGTGATTGAGATCCTCTCAAGGCCTGAGGCCTAGGTAAAGAGAGCCTTTACTTCAAACCTGAGGAAGACAATGAAATCAGAGGAGAAGGAAGTTGTGTCTATTAAGGAAAGATGGAGACCAAACTGAGAGGCTACGTTCTTATCCCAATTGGCATGACCCTGTAATCCGGGGGCCAAGGAGATTGGATGATGAGCAGTAACTTGGAACTAAACAAGTTGTTCTGGGACAATTGTTGGTTGTTCTGGATTAGGCTTTCTGTGCTGGTTTTAATGTGGTATGTACATAGAGCCAGAGGTTGGATGGAAAATTCTCTGTGACTCTCTAAGTTATATAAGCCATCATTTTCTATCCATCTGCTTTTCCCCACTCTATTCTGTAAAGGTTGCTCCTATTAAATAGTTGGGATCTTTTTCCTCCTTTCTGATTCTAAAAGTTCACCAGTTTGCTTTTCTTTACTCCCTTCACTTCTGTCTATTCAGTATCTCTGATGAAACTCAAGACTTTAGTCTGGTAGTTTAGTGCATGCGCTTTAGTGTTATGTCCAGACCCTCTTTTCCCACTTTCCTACTTCCCACAGTTTGACCTTGGTTAAGCGACTTAACATCTCTGGGCCTCAGTTGACAATCTGTAAAATGAGGAAGATCTTAGTTCCGATCATCTAGTTACACATTTCTATTAGTAAAGTAGTCAAAGCTTAGGTATTGCTCTTATGCCTCAAATGCCTATAAAGTGAATATGTATTGTCATATAAATAATTTGCGTATAAAACACATAATATGGGCTCACCTTTTCTAGATTTTCAGATTTTTCACGAGAATCTGGAAATTTGGTTTTTAACACAAAATCTTCTGGTTTTTAAGGGTTGACGATTAAAAATTTTAATTTGTAGTTACTCTGTGCCAAAGCCTATCGATCGAGTCTAATATGGTCCATAGGAAGCCAGTTTCCAAATCTATGCCTTTTATCTTCAGATAAGCCCTCTCGGGTGATTTATTGAGGAATTGCTTTAAAAGTACATTTAATTTTTTAGACATTCATTATGTATATTCTTATGTGTATTTGGTCTAAAACAGTGGATGTCATATTATGGGTCATATACCAAAAAAGGTGTGTAGGCTGGTCTGCAGTACAGACCCCTGGACACACGAGAGAGCCTCGATAAAGTTCTCAGCCAACCCTGGGATAAACAGGAGGGTGTTTTAGTATGAGTGACTTAACTGTAAGAATCTCATCCACCCCTTGACTGAACAGCTTAAACAAGAACCCATAATTGGCAACTCTGTGTTCTTCATTTGTGTACTAAACTGACAAAGGCCTGTCTTGGAGTTGGGAAGAGAAGCTAAGAAAAACTCACTGAAGATGATATGTAAAATCTGGTTCGGTCCTCATTCCCTGCAGAAAGGCATCACCTCATTCTCAGTAATAGCCCTCTGCTGTAGCACAAATGGCATCAATTGTCTATAAGCATAACATGTAATGAACCGAAGGACACTGGCATTTGCTTTCTTTTGGGGGAGGGTAGTTTTTTCCCTCTACAATGGAATAAAGAAGAAGAGGCACAGATAGGGTTCCTATTGTGTGTATCCCCTCTCCCAATTTCGAGAACTGTTAGTCCTCCAGTAATCCTAATTAGGCAAGACTTTTATATAGTGAATACTGTCATTTTCAAACATTTTCAGGCATATCCGTGGTCTTAATACTAGTACAAAGGGCTGTGTGTGTGTGTGTGTGTGTGTGTGTGTGTGTGTCTTTGGAGATCAGTGCTACATTTTTTATTAATTAGCCACCATCTTGAGAGATTTCACATAAAAATCTTCTTTTGGAAAATTGGAAAAACTGGCAGCTACAGTTTAGCCTTCCCATAAATTAGCAATTTCCTTGAGCTAAACATTAGCTGGCCCAAATAAATGGGGTGGTAGCCACAGTCTCCATCACTTCCCTTGTTTTTTAAGCCCCTAGCTACCTTCAGTCTTTGTGCCTGAGGTTCCTCATCTGTAAATGTAGATTATAATCATACAGACCACATTGGGTTGTTACATGGAGTGATTTATTTATGAATTAACATGTAAAGCATTTAGAAGAGGACATAGCATGTGTTAAATACTCTATCGATGTTAGCTTTACTGCTGTATATTTTGTATGCTCTAAGTTTTATTGTGCTGCTTTAGGGGTTTGACTAACAAAGGAATAAGAATAGTCAATCACGTAAAGTGATACCAATGTCAAGGTCTAGAAAGTAAAGAAAGCATAGATTGAAAAGACCTAGTCCTTTCTCTAGTCCTGTCACCTTGAGTGAGTCTCTTAACCTCTCTGGGCTTTAGTTTTCTCATTTATGAAATAAGTGTAGATTAGATATCTTCAGAGGTATGTTTCTAAAATTGAATGAGATGATAGAAAAGGTTTGGGGAAAAAATTGGAAGAGGTCATGCTGTGACAAAAGATGTTGAGAGGGGTTAATTTTCTGCTTGAAAGACCTGAATACTCTTTCAGAATTTTCTTAGGGAAAATTAATGTTCACCATACTGTTCACAGATTTAAACCATGATACAGTATTTTTCTTAGGCTACCAATTAAATATTGTTTTTCCCCCCAGGATCCCTGCTCAGTAGCAAAGAAATTAACATTTATTATATTGACTGCATAAGTAACAAAAGGGAATATCAAGGTCTAAGAAACCATACTTGTTAGAGTGCACACTGTAAAATTTAATCCTGTGTTAGTAGAACAGGCATATGAGAACTGAAAAATGTACCATGTTGAACTGTGAATGAGAGAAGGTAAAATCTCATGTCTTTGTTTACAAATCTCACTTATACAATAGTGATCCTTCTTACCTTTCAAAATATTAAACATTATTGCTGTTTGGCTATCTTTGGGTAGAGTATAATTAAACTTTAATTTTAGTACCATATCATCTCACAGCCAAGAAAATTAGTGAGCTTGATCCTTTGGCTAAATTTAGGGTATATCAGTTGGTTTTTGGATATACATTAATTTTTAAAAATCAGTGAATAGTAAGTTTGAAAGTTGGAAAGGACCTTAGAAACAATTTATTCTAAATTGTACACCTCCAGTGACGTCCTGTAGTTTATAATAGTGTCTAGAAAGTACAGTTTATGACGTATTTGCATCCAGTTAGGATTTGTGTTCTGAGAATTGTGTCTTGACATAATTTATAATATGACTAGTTTATATTGTGCTTGAAACAATTTATAACAGATGAGGCCTAAGGAAGGTAGATTTCAATGAAGTTCAACCTTTATAGCCTCAAAATAAGAGGTACTAATGGAGATTTTTTAAATGTAGATTAGTAATTGTCTATATTTATTTTAAAAGTGGGCAACATGACTCTAAACATGCGTGGAATATCATGAGTATGTCGGGTGGAGTAAGAGGTATTCTGGGAGTGGAAAGTTCGTCTCAGTATAGGATATTAAGAACAAATGTAATGCAGCTAGTCATATAAGGAGAGCATTTTAAACTTTCTTTCTATTTTAATAAATTTCAGAGACCATCATGCAGACATCAGAGACCGGGTCGGACACAGGTTCGACAGTGACTTTACAGACATCTGTGGCTAGTCAAGCAGCAGTGCCTACACAGGTGGTACAGCAAGTACCAGTACAACAACAGGTAAGGAGCTGCTGTTCCCAGAGAAGATGCTGTGCCTTTCCTTGTGCTGCCTCTCCAACATAGCTGTGTCTAAAAAATGATTCAGATAATACCTTCTGGCACAATGGATGCCCAAATAGGCCTCGTTCGATTCTTAGATTAAGTCAGCAAATGTTTCTTGAGCATTTCCTGGATGTGCCACGTTCTTTCTGTGCTAGGCTGTAGGGATAAAAAGATAAATACTCAAACTATAACCCTTATTCCAAAAGAGCCTCTTAAGTCCTAAAGAGAGCATTTGTTTCTAACTTGGCCACCCTAACTGGGTTTTCTTCTCCTCTTCTCCCCTCCTTATTCTTTATCACATCTTCCTATCTCTTTCGTATTGAAATGTTGGCAATCATATTTTTATATAATTGGCTCACAGTAGTACTTAATAAAGGAGAGGATGTGTGTACCTTACAGGCAGGGATTTTGCCTTTGTGACATTTTGGAAAGTGCTTGGGCGTTATGGTGACTGATAAATAGTGTTTAATGAAAATTAAATTATCTTAAAGGTCTGAAAATCTGACTCATCCCATTTAAAAAATAGAGAATGAATTCATCATCACATGTTTACTACAGGGCTTATTCATACGTGGGACGCTTCGCTTGTTTTGGAAAGATACTGACAAAATAGTGCAATTTTGTGCCAGTTAATAGTCCTCCTTTGGATTGTGAACACATTGGCCTGTCATTTCTTCTAAGGAGTGGTGAGAAAGTATGCGAGAATAATCATGTCATAAAGCATTATCTCGAGACTTGAGATTTACCTGTAATTTCTCAGTATCAGAGAAAATGTTGCTTTTACAGTTTAGCAAATGTTGCTTTTACAATTATAAATAAGTCATTAGGGAGAGGGAATAACTTTTCCTAAATTATAGACAGAGGGACTCAAGGTTATATTCTTAGGAGATAGAAGTGGGATGGGCAGGGAGAGTGCTAGAATCATGGAGAAGGGTCTTTGACTCTCAGGGTAAATAAAGACATCTGAAAGAATTATTTCTTTTATAATTAAATCTTAGCATACTCTTCTTTCTGTTCTCTACAACACACTGGTATTACTGATCACCAATTTCATTACCAATTTCAAGACTGAACATTATTCAGAAAAGGGTAGTTTATGGCATATCATCCAGAGAGCAAGTAGAGAACTATTGGGACAGTGTTATATATAACTTTAAAAAGATAACTCAACAATCGAACAATATTAAGCACATATTGAACAGTTACGCTCACTCTGGTTTGGTTTTTGTCTCATTTGTGGAAGAAGAATGGCCTTGAGAGTGCCTGTCTCTAACAGTAGTGCAGTGGAGATCCTGTTCCTGTCTCCAGAAAGTGCCCCCTTGACACCTTAAAATGTCTGTGTTAAGTGTATCTGGCCCTCTCTCATGGACTCTGTATCTTTTCTTACTCCCTCCTTCCTTTCCTTTCCCTTTCTTCCTTTTTGCCTTCCTTCCTTCTTTTCTTTTTAAAAAACATTTTCTTTTTATTGAATTTGTATGTCATTAGATGTCTACTACAGGTCTTATATAGTGTATATAGTAAAGAGTCAAATAGTTCAGCAAGTTTGTTATTTAAAAAAAAAAAAAGTAGTTCTCATCCTCTCTGTACTCCTCCTCAGAGGCAACTAATTTTGCCTCTGTTTACCTATTATTTTGATATTTACCTCTGTGTCTTCACAAACGGTGTTTATTTTCTTTTTTTAAAAAATTTTTATTGGAGTATAGTTGATTTACAGTGTTGTGTTAGTTTCAGGTGTACAGCACAGTGAATCAGTTATGCATATATACACTCTTTTTTTTTTTTTTTTGGATTCTTTTCCCATATAGGCCATTACAGAGTATTGAGTAGAGTTCCCTGTGCTATACAGCAGGTTCTTATTAGTCATATATTTTATATATAGTAGTATTTTCTTGATTTTTTTAGTTTTAAGCATTTTCTTACCACACTTCTCTTTCTAGCTCTTAATATGTGCATGCATGTGCATGCACGCACGCACACACACACACTTTTTCCATGCCATATGCTTCTGATATACTAGGTTGAACTATATGCATTTTTTTCCCTTTGCCATCATTCTGGGATTTCCCTCTTTTATGTTGGCTTTCCTGTTTCTCGGATCAGTGTCTTAAACTCTTTCTTGATTTGCTCAAGCACAACTTGCAGTAACTTCCTAAGAATTGGTAGATTTTGAGCTCTTGTGTGTCTGAGAGGGAATTTATTCTACTACATTCACAATTGTTTGGTAGTTGGATGGGTACAGAGTTTGGGGTTGGATATCATTTTCTTCAGAATTTTGAAGGAATTGCTCCATTGTTTTCCAGTTTGCAGAATTGCTATGGAAAAGTCAAACACCGTTCTGATTTCTGATCCTTTGTATGTGATCTATGTGATTATTTTTTCCTCTCATGTTCTAAATCCCAGTTTCTTGAAATTTCATGTTCATCAAGGAAGGCCAGTCACCTCATTGCACAGAGTTGGTAGAGGAGATCTGATTGCTTCTTAAATAGAATCACTTTTTATATTAAATGTATATAAAACCAAAAAAACTAAGTTCCTATTAGAAGTGGAAAATCAAGTATCACCAGCCATAGACAGAAAATTACACATACACATACACACACTGTGTTCACGTCCTTATAAAAAATAATCTCATGTACACACATAACACACTTTGGAAAACTTTGTGGTATGCCACATGGTTTGTTTCCCAACAGGCATATTTTTCAGTCCCGCAAGTTAGCTCTTTCCTCTAGGACGTTCAAGGCAGTCGACGACTTGGTCCCCTTTCACCAAGCAAAGAAGTTGAGAACTTTCATTTTCTTTTTGTCAACTAAGTGCTTTATTTCACAGAGTAGATTAGTGTGATATATGCCTGGATAAATGCCTGTTATGTTGTCCTTCCAGGCTTATCTTATTTGGAAGGATTTTTTCTTTTCTGTCATTTTCTTCCTTCCTAGCTTCCTTCCTCCATTCCTCCCTTCCTTCCTTCCTCCCCTCTCTTTTCCTCTCCTCTTCTCCCCCTCCTCCCCTCCCTTCCCCTCTCCTTTTCTCTCCTCTAGAACGGTGACATATTTGAAGATTTCTAACAGTGTCCCTGTGGATATAGATTGTCTGTAACTGATAAGATAGGTGCTATAGTAACTTCTTATTGCTCTAACATACCTATAATCTTTGTATTGTTAATATGCTGATGTCATCTTGAGTTTTCAAACTTTGGTAGGATGCCTTTAAAATCTTGCAGCTCTTGTCACTGACCCATGATAGATACTGAAATCATGGCATTGACATCAAAGATAGTTACTTCTATTGATTCAACTTTTCATTGTGTCCTTGCTCTGACCATTTTGATGTAAAAAGAAAGCCTATAGGGCTTCCCTGGTGGTGCAGTGGTTGAGAGTCCGCCTGCCGATGCAGGGGACACGGGTTCGTGCCCCGGTCTGGGAAGATCCCACATGCCACGGAGCGGCTGGGCCCATGAGCCATGGCCGCTGAGCCTGTGCGTCCGGAGCCTGTGCTATGCAATGGGAGAGGCCACAACAGTGAGAGGCCCGCTTACTGCAAAAAAAACACAAGCCTATAGCTAAATTTTTAAATTTTGAGACATATAATATTGTATGTATTGGCCTGTTGAGAAACCAGAAAATTTTAAGATCGTAATATATATTTTTATTTCTTCAAAGCCCTAAGGGTTCTGATTTCCCTATTTCACTATGTAATAAGTACCAAAAGAATGTTGTTTCTAAAATTATTTCTGTGGTTTTTCATTTATTCTGTACGATCTCAAGGATCAATTTGTCACCTTTCCTTGAACAATCTGATTCAAGAATGGAGAATTCTGAGCAAAGATTGCAAGATCTTATTATATAATTCTTTATCAAATCTCCTATCTTTTGCAATTTTTCATTATTTCACAAAACACCATAGAGTCTCAGCTTACAAATACAGAGATAGTTGCCCAATTCAGTAAAATCTATAAAAATATTCAGGTTCAGTATCTTGATTAGAAACTAAAAAATTAATATTATTTATTCTTATCATATTTGTAAAAAGACTTTTTGCACTGATGGGTCTCTATCAAATATGCCTAGAACTGTGCTGTTCTCCCTTCCCCTCCCCCTTCCTTGAGTGATTTGTTAGAGTTTCTTGTAGATAATTCTTCAAGTTGGTCATTTTATGCCTAAATCTGAGAGGTCTTCTAACCCTGCTTGCCTAGAACTGAATTAAAAACCCAGGATAGGGGAAAAGGAAAATGTATTCCTACTATTCCATTCTCCTCCATAGCCAGCTAGGTTAGATTCTTTTCAAGGTAGAACCTAGTCAAAAGTCAGAACTTTTATTCCTGTTTTAATCTTGGGATCCAGGTATTTCACAAATGCTGCTGACATCGAGGATAATTCCTAAATCATCCTAAATCTTGAATCAGGGCTCCAAGAATATTTTCTCCCATTCAAGCTTCCCAAGTTTTAACTGGTCTCCCAACTATATTTCTTCCTGTCTCTACTGTCTCTGTCTTTCCTTTTCCTTAGAAAGGGACATACATCTTTTCTCTCACAGTGGGCAAGTGTGTTGTCTCTGTATTGCTCCTTCTAAATGTAACATCCCAGGTACAACTGAGCCCTGGGGTTGAGGGGCTTCTATTTGAGTTCAAAGACATACATATTTTTTTTTTCAAAGATGCTGTCAACTTTGTTCAAATTCTTTTTTTATCAAAGAATGTGGGTCTTGACCTTTTTCTGCCCAGGGACTATTTGTTTCTTGTGGGTCTTTGGTATGTAACTGTGACACTGAAACTTCTTTTTATGAGATAAAAGCTCATTTCAAGATTATATTCAGATAAGGACATATATATTCTTACAAATACATATTTTTAAAAATACGTGTAGAAATAAATCACCTATTTAGGCACTGACTCTTTGTTCATAATTTGAGTTATCAAAATGAATGTAATAGCTATGTGGCTATATTATTTCTTTCTGGTT